GGGGGGAGGGAGAGGGAGAGGGAGAGGGAGATAGAAACATCAATGATGAGAGAGTCATTGGTTGGCTGCCTCCTGCACGCCCCCACCGGGGATCGGGGATCGAGCCTGCAACCTGGGCATGTGCCCTGACCGGGAATCGGACCTGGATCTCCTGGATCCTAGGTCTGTGCTCAACTGCCAAGCCACACAGGCTGGGCTCTCCTGTCTCTTAGCTCACAGGGATCGGTTGTATCTATCCACCACAGTGTCGGCATTTTGTGTGTTGGGTTTACTATTGTGTCCCTAGCACCAACGGCAGGACATGCCCCTGGCAGGTGTGGTAAATATTGGATGAAAATGAACAGTGGGCCTCTGTATGTTGGGCTCAAATTTCTGTGGCTGGCTCCTGGCAGGCCCAGCCCACCACCCACCAAGAGAGCTCTGGAGTGGATCCTGCCACTCTAATGTCCTCCCCCTCCACTTATTCTAAGTGTGACCTTGGGCAGATGGCTTACAGGGGAGTGAGGTGCTTCTCTTGGGACTTGCCTCTGGGTGGCAAGAGATGGTGTGTGTGAACACTTGACTCCATGCTGGCCTGCAGAGTGGCTTAACACAGTTCAGCCACCATTGTCATAAGTACCATCATCTCCCAGTCCTGCCCCTTGTCCCTGAGTACAACGCTGGCCAAGCCCTGCTGGGCTCATGCTTTATGTGCAGTGTCTTGTCTAAGACACAGGTCCCATTGGCTCCATTTTGCAAGTGAGGAAATAGGTCTGGGGAGGTTGTCACTCCCCCAAGGTTGCAGAGACCCACCCAGAGCCCAGCTTCACCCGACTCACCAAACTTCCCTGCCTGACAACCTCACAGCCTGAGATCTTTGTGCTTGCGATGAATCTGTCACCTTACCAAGTCTGCCATGGGAGTTGGGGACAGGGTAGGCAAGCCCAGCACCCTGCAGAGCTACCCCATTTCGGCACCCATGGGTGCTCCCCGTTGACCCCCACCATGGCTCTTCCAGCCTGAGGTCTCATCTTTTTCCCGTGGAATGGGGCCCCTCTGGCCAGTGAGGCCACCACCCTGCACCAGGGCAGTTGTACCTTCTCCTAGGTCTGCCCTAGGCTTCCGTGGCTGCCATGTCCCCGTTCACATAATCGGGCTCCCCCTCGTCGTCCTCCTCTGGGCTTCCTACAGGGGAGGGGGGTGCTTCTCTCTGGACTTGCCCTGTGGGCCAACAGGCAAACTGTCAGTTGGTTCACAGGGACACACCCGGACCTGTTCCCCGAGCCAGAACGCCCAACCGGGGCTCAAACCCCCAGGTGCCACAAAACAGCCTGAAGGCAAAGGCTGCTCTGGATGGCGTGTCTGTCCCTATTCTGGGATTTGCTAGAGATATGTCCTGCCCTGGAAGCAGAGCGAGTGGGCTCCATCCACACAGCGAGACCGGCAGCCTGTCCAGGAGGATCTGACCTCAGGAGGCCATGGCCACTGAGAGACGTCCTGGCATGGTTCAAGGCCAGTGTAGCCACCCATGTGCTGAAGGCTTTATTGTGAAATTAGCTGACCCAGCTGCAGGGGAGCCCACCCTGGCCTGGCCCTCCCAGGCCAGAC